CCCTTATAGTGACGAAACACGACGAGGCGCAAATTCGGGATGAAATGCTGTTTAATAACAAAAAGGGAAACAACGCCTCTGTAGCCACAAAAAATATCAAAGAAGTTTATGGAAATATTTTGAACGTTCGTAAGTGTCAACAATGGTTCAGCAAATTGACTTTAGCCTTAAAAACTGTGATGGCAGGAGCCGACACGTTGGAATTGATATTGATGCTCTGAAGATGCTTGTTGAGTTTGTGTGTGACATGGGTAGGCCTATCGTGCGAAAGTAGAGTGCAGAGATTTGATTGTGTTGCCTCTGAATAGTGTGACGAGATGTAGCTCTGCTCTGACCTAGCACATTCGCATACATGTTGCAATGCAAATATGCTAGGTCTAAGCGAGGCTAGACCTAGTCACGTTAATCGAATGATAGGCCCTGGACAATCAAAATCTCTACATTTTCATGATGGTCTCAGCCAAGATCCTCCCTTACAGTTTGCACCTGACATGCAGTTTGTTGTCATATGATCAAGCAGTAGGCCTAAAATATGACTAGACCTACGTTGCTAGGCTACATTGAAAATATCTTACGATTCTTCATTCTCAAAGGCTTTGGCTTTTGTTCAAGAAGGGGGTTCAATCAACGCCAACAAATAACACTATTTTAAGCTTTTAGTATATATTGTATCAACTGTTTGTGTTTCTTAAACATAATTTGCAAATTATTATCCCATAAAAATTCCATAATTATTTGTGTGCCTATATTGGCCCACTTATCAGCTATAAGTAATTTGTTGACAATTTGACAAGCATCATTAATTAAAGGGCATAAAATACAAGTCACCCAGGCACAAAATGTGGAAATTTTGAGTTAAGTACAAAAAAAGATATGTGATCATTTGATATGAAACTATTAGGTAGCTCAGTCTAACATCTATCTCTCTCTCACACACACACAGAGAAACAAGTACATAAACACACAACACAAATGTTCTTATATGTGACAACATATTATTCATAAAGTATTGATATTACTTATACACATGCACAAACACAAGAGTGGCATGGAAAATCTAGTCAAAGAAATAGGAAGAAAAAAAAAATAGAGAAAGTAGTAGCTAAAACTTTGAAGCTAACGGATTTATGGGCTTCATCCTCTAGCGCCAAAATCCTCGCCAGCCAAGACAGTTGAAACGATGTAGACACTAAATCATTGGATGCTGATGGCCATCAACCTCCTCATAACAAATGGAGCCCTTGCCCTCAATCGGAAAGTTTTGAAAACATAATCGCCAACCAAGACTGAAACAATCATGTAGAGACTACAACTCTCAATGCTGGTGACTGTCAACATTATCAAGTTGAATCGAACCCCTACCAACAGGAAGAAATCAGTTATTATAATGGCAATAAAGATACTAACCTATCCTTCACATCTGACATTGAGTTTGTTTGTTTTGAATTTTGCGCAAAGCTACACGAGGACTATCTGTGCTAGCCATCCCTAATTTAGCAGAGTAAGACTAGAGGGAAGGCAGCTAGTCATCACCACCCACCACCAACTCTTGGGCTACTCTTTTACCAACAAATGGTGGGATTGACCATCACTTTATAATGCCCCTATTGCTGAAAGGGCGAGCATGTTTGGTATGACAGGATTCGACACCACCACCCTCAGATTGCGAGTCGAGTGCCCTAACCACCTGGCCATGCTGGGCTATCACAGTGTGAAGCATGCTCCCATATGCCACCAGTAAGGAAGTGACTGTGCATTTCGTACTGTTTAGTGTTTTTAATGTGCATGTTTTGCATAGTGCAATTACTGTTTGGGTATTGGATATTGTTCTCAAGTGGCTTTTAATAATAATAAATAATAAACTGCCATATAAGTGCTCTTGAAACTGATGTAATGGGAAACAATGAATCAACTTGGAGTGGCCTTATTGACTCTGCTCTATCCAGTAGTATTAAAACAATTTGTAGTTGTTTTCAAATTAGAGTTTCATTAGTAGTTGTTCACATTACATGCTGTAAGGTCATAACAGGGTTGGAAAAAGAGGATGTACTAATACATTCAAAGAAAAAGTAGGAAAATCATGTAAGACACTAAACCTTAAGAATTTAATTTTCAAGGGAATATTATTTCTTTGTAAATTTAAGCTTATGTTTTTGTAAGAGCAGAAAACTTTAAAAAATCTGGGCTGTGCAAAAATGTACTTTTGACTATTTTCTTTGCAAACTGCAAATGTTAAAAAAAAATCAATTTAAGATATCTTAGATTAAACAATAGTTTGAAGTAGGTAATCATTATTTTTACTGAAATTTCAAATTTGATACACAGGGGCCATCTGGCTCTTCTCCTTTTTGAATTTGAATTCAGCTATAAAGATAGTTATCTACATGACTGCATCTGTGTGACACAACTCATCAACATCTATTTATCAGTCACCAAGTTCCTCCCGCAAGCACCACAGCACTTTGCAGTGAACTTCATTCACAACTCACCTCTTGATCACAGATGACTTTTAACTAGAGCCTTGCAATGCTTAGGCTAGTTAATGAGCACCGTAGAGTCCCATGAAGACCATCCCATTAAGTCTCAGGATGTTCAGTTTGAATGATGGCACCATGATCCATCTTTGTCACAATGTGCTTCTACACATGGGAAGTAAACAATAGAGGTTATATAAAGCAGCATAGATTTCTCCATAGCTACTATTCAACTTCATGATCCAAAAAACAGATTAAGAATTCAGACACAGCTCTCACAACTGGTGCTGAAAATTCTTGTTGCATACTTTGCATCCTCAACTACAGTTTCCTCCTCCTCTCCACTATAAGTTATACATGGTCTTAAAAAAGTGCCCTTCCATATCAATCACATTTAATACACTTTACAGCACCACAAACATAAACATACCCTTTGGCCAAATCACCAAAATGTAACATTATAACTTGTCTGTGGTATTCAGATAAACTGATGTGCAACAGATGCAAATTGAGTAACTTCAAAAATGAAGGTTCTGGAAATGTCTGGGATAGCAAGAAGTCTTCCAAACCATATCCCTACTAGACAAGTACAGGATTAACATAAGAAAAAAAAAGGGACACAGAGTTATGTAGATATCCCAATTTTATATCAGACTTAATCATCTATGTCAGTAATCATACTGAAAAATATATTCAAGGAAGAGAAACTACCAACTCAAACTAACTTGAACAATTATCTGTATTAGCCCTTGGAATGAATGTGACCTCTGTCTAATGTAAAGGATTAATGCAAGTTTACGACCTTTATACATCTGATTTACAATGACAATGATAATGCTAACAACATACAGAACACCTAAACAAAATTTTAGAAAAATTATTTGAATATAGCTGAATAAAGGTATATTTTATATACTAGTTATAACTGGCTCTTACTCAACCAAAGAAAGAACATTACTTTGTCTCACCATAGCATGCATCTAACTTTCATTCAGACATAACTTATTCTTAATTTTTCATACTAATGACTCTTATTCAACTGTATGTGCACAGTGAACCTTCTTACTAAACCCCAAAACAATAAACATAACTGGCTTTTATTTACCACACAATGAAAAATTACTTGATACTACTTATCTGTATACAAATTTCTCTTACAAATGACTGCATTCACTCAACTGCATCATAAATATTACTTTGCACTGATTAAGTGCACATAGGCTGATATCAGTCAATCACATCTGTAGTGCACATCAAACATCTTCAATAACAACTTTGGTGTACTGTATACACACAGAAGAAACCTCTCTATAGTACATCAAAGGGCACAAAAATCATCCAAACGTCAGCAATAAACAGTCTTTAATTTTTCTTTCAACCATTAGGTATCACCATCATTAAAACATTACATAACCCAAATCGCTTTTGGTTCTACAGATTATGATCACACCAATGTTAAAATAAACAATTTCAACTTATTGAGGTATAGAAAATGTTTAAATTCATAAAATTAAAAAAAAAATCCCAAAAGATTAATCACCAATGAAGAAAAAAGCTCACAGATACTTTCTTTTAATGCTTATGCAAATATAATTTAGAGTCAGAAATATATTTTGCTTCGTGTGCTCTTTCTTCAATAATAGGTTTATATAATTTTTTCTTCTTATAGGTGAATTAATCATTCAAAGTTCTTGAATAGAGTACATAAACACAAATTAGTAAATTTCTGTGAGGATAGCCAATCACAATACAGCACTATGCTTTATACACCATTCAAGTTTCATGATATGCAAAATAGAATATCTTGTCTTAACCATCCAGCAGTAGTGTGCTTGAACAAAACAGCTTGCATATTAAACTATAAGACATCCCAAATTACTGATTTAACAACATTGTTTCTTGCCAAATGTTAATACTTTACCAGTTACAAACTTTTCTAAATTTAATCATTTTTTCTGCCTTTAACATGTCAACAATTGAATGAATATGCAGGTTTTTCTGTTTTTTTTATCCTTTTGAGAAATCAAAAATTTTCAAACAAGTCAAGATTTTTTTAAACAAAATGGAATTTTTTAATATAAATATTGAATGCAGAAATTAATTTTAAACCAATTTTAAGCATCAATTAACCAATACATCAGGGATAGAAGTTACATTTACTCGAGGGAAAGCTATTAGGAAGATTACACTCTCTCATGTAAAGTTGTATTTCCACATGAA